TTTTGGTCAGCTTTAACCCAGTGATTTCTGTTATCTCCTTAAACACCCTTTGCCAAAAAAAAATTGTACATATTTACACCCCCACCACATGTGAACATAAGTCCCCTCCGACATAGCACCGAATATTCCTTGTTTATTTGATTTAATCTTACTGGTGTTAAATACCATCTCCATACTAACTTACAGTAATTTTCTTTTATCCTTATAGACATTTTCTACGTTCATTTCTCTTACATTTTCCCTCAGCTTTGACTATTTACCTGCCCTGTTGTCTCCTTTTCCCACACCTCTTTCTACTTTCTACTAATATTTTATCAATTTCGCTGGTTTCCCCTTTTTTAACTACTGTATATTTCTTCTTTAGCTCCCTTTTTTATAATCTCCCCCCCCAAAAAAAATTGTATATTCTTTGCATTTCTTGATTTCCCTTCACCATTTCTTTGTTCATTGCTCCAGTTGTATACAGTTAAACAAAGTTATTTTACTTCCAGATAGAGTTCCTCTTATTTGTTCTTTGCTTCTCATTTTCTCCACCCATTCCTTTATTTTAAGTATTTTCTTCTCTTTCGCTTCTTTTTCAATTTCCTTTTTAAAATTTACTGGGAAGGGGTGGGGTGGCGGGGAAACTTCTGTTGCTGCTTTAGAGCGAAGCATGAAAAAGACAGTCTCCATTAGTGTCTCAAGATAAGCAGGAAGAAAAAGTCAGGCAAACCCAAATAGAAAATTGATTAAATTATTTTGGCACCAGCAAGCACACACTTGGAGAAAAGCAGAGAGATATACAAAGGCTGAGTGCTTCATGGAGGGGGGGGAATAATGAATCGCTTGTTCTTATCTCTTTTTTCTGTTCATTTTTATGTGTTAAGTGAGAAAACTGTTAACTTCCTAGCTTCTCCTTTCTACTGCTCTTTTTGGCGACTCTAGTGAAACAATTGCGGTTTTTTAAAAAAACACCTCTCAAATCCTAGTGAGATTTTTTTTTGGGGGGGGGGAGAAAAGAAAAATCTTTTAACTTCCATCTTCCTTCTTCTTTGTGTCATTACTTAACTCCCTGTGAGTATTTAGGAGATCCATAAAGACATTTGAGCTATCATACATTTGAGATCTATACTCTGCTGTGCTCCAGAATCAAACAAAATACTGTAATAGCTAAAGATTTTTTTTTTGTTGGTGTGGTAGGCAAGCAGTAGCTAATCTATAGGGCCTGTTCAAAAAAAAAAAATCCATTCAAGGTGTTATCTGTGAGCAACATTAAAAGTTATTGACCTAGTTCTTCACTCTCCCACTTTCCAGCTCTGGGATGCCATTCACTGTAATGGCAGCGCTATTGTAGTGGCAGCACATTCTTGAGCAATGGGGCAAATGTGTGGGCAAGATGCAACAAAAGTTCCATGTAAATAGAGCCAGAGGAAGGAATCAAGTCCTCACCTTCACGGGCAGATAGGGCGATTTATTTGAAATCAAACTGGCAAGTATAGTCAACTTTTTTCAAAATAAAATAAATGTAGCTTCTTTAAATGCCTCGACCCTTGGGCTTCTGCTAAGCTCATAAACTGTGTGGAAATCAAAGTCCCCGTGTGAGAGACGGGGAAGGGGAAATCTCAAAGGGTGAGAGGCTAGGGAGAAGAGAGGGGCACCCCCAGGTGAGAGCAGGAAGGAGACCCCCTTTTCTGGGTGGGACAGAAGTTAAGATATGTTTGAGAGAGAGGATCCTGTATTTTTCTAGCCTATCTTTTCTTTGTTCTTCTATTCTCTTATTTGTGTGTGTGTGTGTGTGTGTGTGTGTGTGTGTGTGTGTGTGACTAGCTTGTCTTATATTGTACTGTGAAAAGTGTTAATGAATATATACAATGGTACCTCGGTTTTCGAACATCTCCATTGACGAACATTTCAGAACACAGATACCAAAAACCCGGAAGTAAGTGCTTCCATTTTTGAACGCGCCTTGGAAGTTGAACGGTTCCGCTGAGTGTTTCTCAATTTTCTCACTTAAATTTGCAGACTGCCCTTTGCACCTTGGTTTTCGAATGTTTCAGAACTCAAATGGTCTTCCAGAACGAATTACGTTCGAAAACTGAGGTACCATGTGTGGGTGTGGGTGTTAGTTATCACATGCCTACTGCAAATAACACCGGATGATGGCTCTATTAAAAGAGGTAATTGCAACATTTCCACATCAAAAGTATATCCGTGGCAGAGTTTATGAATGCAGTCTCTCATGCCTTCCATATACACACTGACATACTACTGTACTCATTTCAAGAGTAAAATGTAAAGATAAAGGACCCCTGGATGGTTATGTCCAGTCAAAAGCGACTATGGGGTGTGGCACTCATCTCGCTTTCAGACTGAGGGAGCTGGTGTTTGTCCACAGACAGCTTTCCCGGTCATGTGGCCAGCATGACTAAACCACTGCTGGCGCAACAGAACACCGTGACAGAAACCAGAGCGCACGGAAACGCCGTTTTCCTTCCTGCCACAGTGCTACCTATTTATCTACTTGCACTGGCGTGCTTTTGAACTGCTAGGTTGGCAGAAGCTGGGACAGAGCAACGGGAGCTCACAGCGTCGTGCAGATTTGAACTGCCGACCTTCCGATTGGCAAGCCCAAGAGGCTTGGTGGTTTAGACCACAGCACCACCCATGTCTGTGTTGTAGGAAACTACACAGCCATTTATTGTCTCTATGGTGATGCAATGCATCTCTTAAGTGAGGCTTTTGTGGAGCGGGAATTGGAGTAAGTGGGACCCTAGACTTTCATCCAATTCACTTTCATTCCATGCAATTCCCTTTTAAGTGGTGATGGTAGTGTTCTTAAATTCCAGGAAGAGTGCCTTAAGAGTCTTCTGATTGAAGACCTCTGTCTCTGTTCTGCAAAACATGTCAGCCATCTGCCTTGTATAAAAATAAGGAAATGTGAAAATATATTTCACACTGATTAGGCACTGCAGCCCAGGGGTGGAGCTTCATGCACTGGGGGGGGCGGAGAGCAGGTGGGGCGTGGTGTGCATCCTGGGGGCAGGGCATGCATCCTGGGGCATGGCACCCAGCGTGGGCAGGGTAGCAACCGCGATGGCACCCTACTGGGATTGCGCTGCTGGGGGCGGTGCGCTCCCCCCGCACTCCTCTTCCTCCGCCAATGCTGCAGCCCAAACACTGAAATGAGGACAGCAGCGAACTCTGGAGACCCTTGAGTTTTACAGAACTATTTAAAAATCCTTTTTTTAGCAAAATAGTCCTCTACCCCTTCCCTTAAAAACACAATATAATAGAGCAAGGAGTCAATTGGTTTGGCTTGAACTCTGAAATGAAGCACTCCTGTTAGGAGGTGAGAATGTACTGCAACATTTCATCTATGTTCTATAGCCAGATTAAATACCCTTTGACGCAGTATGTTTCACTTCCAAGAGCCATGCTTAGTTCAGATGCTTCTCTTGAACTAACGGCATTTGCCATTAGTTACTCCTTTTACTCCCAGCCTGTTATAATGTACGATACAAGTTCACCCAGGTACCCGGTATAAAAGATCCCTCAAACCACCCTCACTGAACCGGGTTTTTTTGTGGGTTGTAAACCACAGAGCCTAGGGCTTGCTGATCAGAAGGTCGGCAGTTCGAATCCCCGCGACGGTGTGAGCTCCCATTGCTCAGTCCCTGCTCCTGCCAACCTAGCAGTTCGAAAGCACGTCAAAGTGCAAGTAGATAAATAGGTACTGCTCCGGCGGGAAGGTAAACGGCGTTTCTGTGCGCTGCTCTGGTTCGCCAGAAGCAGCTTAGTCCTTCTGGCCACATGACCCGGAAGCTGTACGCCAGCTCCCTTGGTCAATGAAGCGAGATGAGCGCCGCAACCCCACAGTTGGCCACGACTGGACCTAATGGTCAGGGGTCCCTTTACCTTTACCTTAGCTTGTATCTTAATGCTGTGGAAACTGAAGCTCGTTAGCAAATTGCCAGCCTGTGCAAATTTGTGTTCTACTCTGGGAAAATATTGACCTTTTCTATTAAAATATATATATATTAATTTACCGGTGTCAACTCCACATGTAAACTTGGCCGTTTAAAAGTGCATGGGAATGCAACCTAAAGGTTTTGTCCACTCGGCAATTGTGGTGGCTGCATTGTTCTGTCCAAATGCATTAAAATGGCACCTGAGGGGAGAGGTGCTCAACCATGCCTATTTGCTGCGATGACGGCCTTCAGGGAGAGTAACAATTTGGTTTTTATTAATATCAGATGTACTCTTGGGAGTCGAAAGAGCTTGCTTGGGGAGGGGCAATGGCTTCGTTTTAAGGCAGGCTCCTTTGTGTGCTGAAGGGCACACATTAAGTCTCCAATTAAAAGGATCTCAGCAGACCCTGGAGAGCTGGCTGCTGGGTGGAACTGATGCTACTGAGCTCGATGGAACCAATGGGCCGACAACGGGGGGCTATCAGAATAGCATTTGTGCCCTCTCCCGATATATGCCTGGATTTGTAGAAGAAATTATTTGGGGTTTGCCTTTCAGCTTGGCACTAATGCTCACACGGATCTGATGCTTGGTAGAACTTTAAAAAGCATTGCCTGCTTACTTCCCCTATGCCCAGTCCCAAGATAAACATTACTTTGCTTTTAAAGGGTCGTCTGGTTTTTTAGTACCAGGCTTACCCTGTGAAAGGAAGATTCCTCTCTTGTCTTCCGAAGCCCCAAAGCTCACCGCTGAAGTTACCCACCTTATTGTGTCTTCCTGGGGCAGAGAGCTTTTTATGGGAGGCCACAATCTTTTTAAAGACAGTGTTTGCTATTCCGTAGGTAAGCACATGGGAAGCGCATTGGAAATGTGACAGAATGGTTACATTGCTCAAGGAACGCCGTTTAACCCGCACTGAATTTGTAGCACTAATGGGTTAATTGAAACAAGCGTGAATACGTATCTGAAGAGATTTAATGTTTGATTCATTCTTTGAATTCTGGAGTGTCTTTTTCTTTCCTGTTAAATGCTTTCACTTTTGCTCTCCTTTAAAGCCATATAGCCCGTCAGAATGATTTACGAGTGTGCCCCTACTTCGTTGGGCATGGGATAGGATCTTACTTCCACGGCCACCCGGAAGTTTGGCATCATGGTAAGAAGGTTCCTCCATCATCGGTTCATGAGCCTTGCACTTGAGTGTTCACATGCAGGAGATGTGCTCCTCCTTTCCAGCTTAAAAAAGAAGAAGGGGGGGGGGAAATGCTAGTGGGAAATAGTTTTAAAACAGCCAGTGTGGTGCCCTCCAAACGTTGTTGGACTACAACTCCCATCAGCCCCAATTAGCATGGCCAGTAGCCAGGAATGATGGATGTTGTAGTCCAACCGCATTGGAAAAGCTGAAGTCTGCACTCATCATGTCCGGCACAATTGCCACAAGCCTGCATGTATCAAAAGACGCTGGGGATTGTCTGCAGGAGTGTTCTTGAGGAGTAGTCTAAGACCCTTGAGCCCTGCCTCTTTTATGCTGGGCCCTATATCTCTTATCCACTCCCTGCCCTTATTTGTATTCATGTTTATTTTGCATAAAGGGACTCCTAGCCTTGCTGCAAAGCTCAGCGCTGGTGAGACCCCAGCCACCAGCCACCTGAATGTGCTCAGAGAGACCTGATCTTGCGTTGATATATATAAATTAGCATGTGCCCATTTTCATAATGGGTCTGTACCCTGAATATTTATCTTTTTAAATATCTAGCAGCACCCCTGGCTGAGCGAGACTGTTAAAATTACAACAACAACAACAACAACAACAACAACATAAACCCCGCATGCATTACTGATCTCAACAGTTTCCGGAGTTGCATTTTGTTTGATGTTCTCCCTGTTAGGATATAGTTCCATTCCACCTTAAAAGGGTACAGGCATGACGTTTGTGTATCACATGCCTGTTTACTTCCAGCTCTCGCTGGGAACTTCCGTTGCATGGAGCATGTGCATGTGATACACAAACGTCATGCCTGTACCCTTTTAAGGTGGAATGGAACTATATCCTAACACTCCCCACCTCCAAACAGACTCCAGTTCCCATCAGCCACAGCCAACACAATCAGTAACCAGGGATTATGGGAGTTTTACTCCATAACATCTGATTTCTGAGTATGCCCCCTACTTGGTTGGTCATGGGATCAGAGCCGTCTTTCCCATTGGTGTTAGTGGTTCGTTGCGCCAGGGCGCCCTAGCGAGTGGGGGAGCTGCGGCGGCTTTGCCGGCAGCCTCCCCTTTCCCTGCATGCCCGCCAGCTGTGCCCTGCCAACTATATGGCTGGCAGGCGGGCAGCTTCCCTCCCCAGCCCCTGCATCTGCTAAAGATGGCCCTGCTCCCGGTCGTTGTCCTCCTCCTGCTTTGCGTCCTGACGCCGGAGAGCATGACCGCCAGCATGTTTTCCTGCTTGATCGCTGCCACCACGCCAGGGATCGGGGCGATGGGAGAGGCAGAGGACATTTTCCACCACCCCCTCCCTTGTTTTGGAGTTGCCGGGGGGGGGGCGCCAGATATGCTTAAGATGGCCCTGCATGGGATAGGATCTTACTTCCACGGCCACCTGGATGTTTGACATCATGGTAAGAAGGCCCTTCCATTAGCTACCCGTGCTTTAGACTGAAGGGATATCTACTGTTGGGAGTTAGTTTGGTTGTGGGGGATGTTGCGTGGTTGTTTTAAGATCTTGACGTGTTGCAAGACTATAGGGCAGTGTGGTCAACGTGCCTTCCAGATAACTGTTTGATTACAACTCTCATCAGCCCTAGCCAGCGTGACCAATGATTAGGAATTGAAGTCCAATAACATTGGGACTATCCCAAGTCTCACTACCTTCTGGAAAACGTGGGCTGAAGGATTTTCTTACGTATAAAGTCATCATGATCTTTGACTGCACTGAAACTGCTTTACCATTCCCATCTATCGTGCTAAACAGGCTGGTCTGGAGAGTTTGCAGAGACATGTTGAATTCCCGGTGACCACAGCATCAAGGGAGGACTTTGGGATCACAGCTGAAACACACAGCTTTTGTGTTGCCCTTTGGAGGCTGCCCATTGTTTAACTGAAAGCTGTGGCAGGGTGACATTTCGAAGGCAGCGTTATTTAGCCTCCATTTCTGCAGATAGGACTTGAGTGTTTTGGTTGCAAACAGGGAGCCTCTCCTGGAGTGCCAAGCTGAAGTGCTTTTGCTCTCCCTGATGCATCTTCTGAAATAAGCTGTTGCTTACAAAGGTTCGTGCCGCAACCAATCTATTGTTGGCATCTGTCTGTCTCAAGAGACAATAGAGTGCGCCTCCAGGGGTGAAGTCAGACCACTGTGTTAGCGGCACCAAAGTGACCTCCCCTGAGCGCACACCTGGGCAGTGTGTATAGAGGTCCTGAGCTACCCAGAGAACAATACTCCCCTCTCAGCCTCACTGATGTGGTCCAAAGGAAAGCAGAGCAATAGGTTTGGCACCAGCTTGGCTGCAGGAGTTGCCAGAAGGATGCATGCAAACCACCATCCAACTATCTTAGGGACTCCACTCTCAATTTGTGTAAGGCTTACTCCTTAGCCTTTTCTTCTCTGGAAGATATCTCACAAGGCAGGAGAGGTTTAGGATCAGAATGTTCCTTCTCCTAGGTGGGCTATCTTCCCAAGTGGATGAGCCCCATCTGCCCCTTACTTTCCTCTCCATCGCGTGCAGAAACTGCCTTCTTGGCCATTGGACCCACTATGGGCTAAGTTCACCCTTAACACTGGGCTCTCTGAAATTAGAGTGGAGCTTTGAGGATAATCTGAATTGAACCCTGCCCACTAATTGAGTATCATTTGACAAATAAGAGCCAGGATTTAGGGTCCAGGTGTGTCTGCCCTCCCCCCAAGTAGACTCCAGTTCCTGTAGCTATTGCCCTTAGAATCATAGAGTTGGAAGAGGCTCCTTGACTTTTTTAGCTGAACTGAGAAAGGACGACACAAGATTTTCCAAGGTCCCACTTGTGAGATTCTTACTGACGTTGGAGTAGTGGAAGAAGCAGATCAGAAGCTCCAACTTTTCTTTGATGCAGAGTGACACTCACTTCCTTTGTTGTGGTCTCCCCTCCAGATAGAATTGTGAATCAACTTTGTACAGCAGCAAAAAGATGCCCAGGGCTCAGGGTTGTTAATAAAAGTCAACTCCTGGTAATCGCCCCAACCTCACCCTTTTGGTTACATAGGCACTTGGAAAGCAAAGAACTAGGACAGATGTGGGCAGGGGTGGGGGTTGGGAGGGGAACCCAGAATTCGACCCCCACAATCCAAATTGATACACACAGAGAGAGAAACAGAAGGGAGAAGACAATCCCATGTTCCAGCATTTTTACACATTGCTCCAAAGCAGGTCCTATCGCTTTACATACTTCCAGGTGTTGGTACAATGAGAACCTACTCCAGGTGCATTTCGGATGCTGGACTTCAGATCCCATAATCCATGGCCATTGGGGCTGTGCTGGTGAGAGCTACAATATCTGGAGGGCTCCACATTGGCTACCCCTGTTATTAGTGCCTCCTTATAATTCAGAAATGCTTCTGTTTGCGTTTGATTAAAGGGAAACAAAACTTAGTGGTTGGACAATTATTGCTTTTGATTTGATTTGATTTTTTAAAAAGAAAAATCAAAGTGTTTCTACACCTTCAGTTAAAAAAAATAATAATTCTGAAACATGGTGGGGTTAAGTTAAAAACTCACAGAGTTGCAAAGCAGCCTGAATTTATTTTCTTCCTGATCTCCTCTCCCCCCACCCCTCTTTCTACATCACTGATATCCACCAGCTAACGGGGGTTAACTCTGCCTTTGGTGACCAGGGTAAGAAACCTTTGGTGACCAGGATTGCAACAACTGAAGGCTCAAATTGGGCTGCAATGTCTCAAAGTGGGAATAATTCGCTATATGGGCAGGGTGGAGAGCGATTTGGACCTTTTTGGGGAATGGGTGAGGTGTGCTTCGTTTTCAGGCCACCAATACCTCAAATACTAAAAAGAAACTCTGCTCCCCAAAAAGGATTGCAGATATACTCTACTGAGGGCGGGCGCGCAATTTCCCCCTCGTAATTGAAAGGCTTCTTTTTTTCTCCACTCCACAGAGAACGAAAGCGATTTGTTAATGCAAGAAGGCATGGCGTTCACAATAGGTTAGTTGCGGTTTGTACCGAAAAGGGGAGCCACCTTCTGATCTATTCGGATTGACTCAAAATCGCCTGGTTTTTGTTTTGGTTTTGAAGGCATTCGGTGCGTTCCCCTGGCCCCGGTCTGCATAGCTTGCTTGTTTGTACTGGGTATATGGTTTTTAAATTCCACCTCTCCCCACCCTCCAGTTTTAGCCCCGATCCAGCCAGAGTGAGTTGCAACCAGTCACAACTGCTGTCGCACCCTCGGAGCCTCTTACTGTGCGCGCATTAATCCTCGGAAGTAAAACGAAGTTTACGCAGCGCGTTGCTCCCCTGCCTATAGAGAACTGTAGAGTTAGAATGGGGTTCCACAGGATCATCCAGCCCAACCCCCTGCGATGCAGGAATCTCAATTCCATAAAGACCCTCCCAAGAAGGAGAGTTCACCACCACCTCCGGAGGGAACCTCCCTTCCTTAGATGAGTGTTTACCCTCCCAACAGCCCTGCAGGGTTGGCCGTTTCGACGGAAGTGCGTGGAACAAATCAAGCGGGGAAGAGAGGAGGGGAAGAGATGGAAATTCCTCAGTCCATCAAAATGACAGATGTAACCTGCGCTTTGGCAAGCCACGCGGCTTGAGGAGCTGGGTTTGCCGCAATAGCACAATCTAAAGTCTCTGTGCGTATGTCCCCCCTCCAAAAAAATTGCAATGTTAATCACCCTTCTCTCTCTCTCTCTGGGAACGATTATGCCCTTTATTGTAGACCCGGGAGCTGCTGCTCCCTCGTTTTGAGCTCTGCTGAGTTCTGAGTAGCCAAGCAGCAGCCCTCGCCTTGGCGACTGAGCTTCATCCTAAATACCAATCATAGGGGGCGAAGGGGGAAAAATGTGTTCCGCGCTCACGGCGCGCCTAAATGGCGCGGCAATTAGAGGAAAATAAGAAAATTGTTGTTTTGCTGATTTAATGAACATTTTAAAGCCTGCTCTTAAAGGGGGGGGAAAAAACAACAACTAATATTTCTATCCTATCTGCTGTTTGGAGGAGAGTGGCTGGCGCTTTGGCTGTTATGATCCATGGGGATCTTAATTAAAGCTTGATTAAAATGCCCTTCTTCGCACTTTAAAAACAGAAGACACCCAAGTTCAAGCCTGAAGGTTGCCACTTTCTCCTCCTTAGTTCAGGGGCTGCTTTCTTTGGTTTTATTTTTAGGCTGTTTCCAATGAGGTGGGGGACGGGGAACGCACAGTAAAAATAAAATATCGGGCATTTTGCCTGGGTCCGGAATAGATTTGGCTTGCAGGCCAGTGGACAAACTCTTACCTCGTTTCTGTTTTATTTTTGCTACATGGCAGAACCAATCCTCATGGAAGGATCTTACGAATTTAAAATCCTAAAGGACAAATGGACCGCAGTATCCGTGGACAATAAAAGGTGCCTACTTTTCTTTTCTTTTTTAAAAAAAGTTGTAGTTTGTTGTTTAGTTTTAAATCGGTTTTATCTCTCTCTGGCTAGGGGAAAGAGCGGAAGCTGCCTCCTTGAGTGGTTTTCTTTCGAAATTATATCTCTCTCCGCCAGTAAATAAAGCTCGGTTACTCTTTGGCCCCTTGGCCACTTACTGCGTCTTGCTTGTGTGTTTCAGATCGGCCCAGTTCGAGCACACCGTCGTTATTACTTCGAGAGGAGCAGAAATCCTGACCCAAGTAGCCGGGGAGAGTTAAGGCGCAGCTGGGCACGCGTGGCGAGGAAAACTCGCCCGGCAGAGCCTGGGAGGAGAAGGAGGAGCGCGAGGAAAGCGCCCCAACTTGGAGGCGACTCCAGGGGACCCTCAAGAGGAGACGCTCCAACGCATCGGATTTATTTCTTGGATCAGGCCCAACGAGCTGGGTGGAATCTGGCGAGGCCAGAGGGAAAGTTGCCATGGGGAACGGTCCCCTAAAAGACAAAAAAGGAGGCGGGGGAAGAAGATGATGATTCTCATTTCTCTTCCAGCAGAGAGATGCGGGACAAAGACGCGGAGCGCAGCGCCTCAATTTCCCAAATGCAATTGAGCATCGCTCTCGTTTGCTCAAAGAGCCGAACTCTGCAGCAAGATTTCCCCCACCACCCTCCATATTTTTCTCGTTCTTAAATTAATTTAACTTCTTGGCACTGTAAGGTCTCCTCCCGCTCCTTCACTCCCTTAGATTTGGCGCTTGGCAGCTGTGACATCTAAACACGTGTGTGTGTGTGTGTGTATCTGTATCGCGTTTCTTCCAGGTTTTTGGTTATCTTCTGCGTGTTTCCAGAGTTTGACGTCCGTATGGGGTGTGCACAGGCACTCTCCGCGGGGAAAAGGTGTAAAACCACTTTCCGGAAATAAGAACAACAAAAATACAACAACTTTAAAACAAAACAAGCGCTTTTGTTCTTGTAGACGCGTTCTTGGTACAACAATCGCGTTTTGGGATTCTTTCGTTGCTTTCAGAAAACTGCTGTGACTTTTTAGAAACGATTTATAAGACGTTCACCGATATTTTTTTACCACAAATATTTGAAAGCAGCTCTCTGCTTGCCTTATTGCGGGGAGGTGGGTGAGGGCTAATAATCCTCCCTTTTCCTAGCTTTTAGGTGGGGAGCTGGTCTAGTAAACATACCTTTCTTCCTCCTTTTCAGTTCTGCTTTTAGGAAGACATTGTGTTTTGCCTTCGTTTGTTTTTTTGTGTGTGTGTGTGTGTATTTGCACAGGGCGGCCTTCTGCTCCCAGATGGGCAGCCTCACATGCTGGGAAGAGATTTGTTTATTTGTATTGGGTAGGTTGGCTGGAGAGGGGTGGGGAGGGGAGAATGGGGAGGGGGGAAGAGACTGTCCTCTGATCTGCCCGCCTCAGAATCAAATCTCCAGCTGCCCCCAAACCCCAAGCTGAGAGCCCAAAGGAGGAAGGAAGGAAGGGGTTTGATGATCTGCAATTAGGTGCTTCCTAATCACGCCGCCTGAATGCAGAAAAGGAAGCGTTTTGAGATTCAAATCGGGTTCCAAAAAAAAAAAAAAAAAGCGAGAAGAGGGTGCTTTGACGGCTGACACACCCCCGCTTCGAGGATCAAGCGCTCCCCTGGACTGTCCTGGCTGGCAGCCCTCGGGAGATGAAAAGGGCTCTCTAAGAGGGCTCTCCCCCGGCACATATGCACACACGCGCCCTGCCCGGCCAGACTAGGGCGCACAGCAGCCTTTGCTGCCTGCCGGAGAGGTGCGGGCGACAGCTCCGCTGCCCTTTCCAAGGCGGCGTGTGCGCGGTTGTGTGTGGTGGCCGCGGGGAGGCCGGGGACATTTCCGCTGTGGTTTTGTTTGGGTGTTTGCTGCTGCTGCTGCTGCCTGAGTCCTTGCAAAGTGGCAGCTTTTTATTTTTTTCCTTTTGCAGTGGGCTGGGGTTGCAATTCTTAGAGACGAGAGATAGAGAGAGAATTGGGTGTGGGACCTTGGCGAGGCATTTGCAAACAAAAAAAGAAGAGGAAATAACAAACCAACAACAACAGTAGCCGGCCAATCTGTCTGGGTTGCCCCAGCCACTCTGGGCGGCTTCCAACATCTATAAAAACATAATAAAACAGTAAACATTAAAAGGCTTCCCTATACAGGACTGTCTTTTCAGACCAAACACCACTTCTCACGACTCCTTAGATCGGAGCTTCAAAGGCCAGGTGAGACCTTCCGAGCTGTAAAAATATTAACTCGATTTGATTTGCCGCCGCCAGACTAAACGAGCAAGCCTCCCCCTTCCCAACTCAGACGCGTGGTGAGCCTTGCGCCTCTCAGACACTGCCTCTCAGCCTAAACTACCTCGCGGGGTTGTTGTGAGGTTACAGTTGGGGGAGGGGGGATCCGCGTAGGCCACCTCCAGCTCCCTGGGGGAAAGGTGGGGTAAGAAATGAGATAAGAAGTAAACAAATGTAACCGCCAGGCTACGGTGGGATTGCGTCCCATCTGCGCGCCTCGGAGCGCAATCCTATACTGAACACGCTTACTCGAATAGAAACCCCTGGGAGTTCAATGGCGCTTCGTTGCCAGGGAAGTGGGTATAGGATTTCTCCCTAGCGCGCGCAAAGGGGGCATCAGCTGAAGCCCCAAGGCGACTTAATTGGGAGTTATGGGTCTGATTTGGGGGCTGCTAAGATCCTGTAAACAACTTTAAACAGACGGAAGTTTCGCTAAATCTAGTTGTGCCCCAAAGAAGTAAGCCCTCATGAGTTCTCAATGGGATATTATCAGCTAAATGCGTATAGGATTGCATCGTTTATGAACTGAAAATGAAAGACGGATGTTTAAGGATAAGGATTGCTGTTTAATAGTGCTATACTGGGTGGGGAAAGGAGAGGAGACTCTTTTAAGTAACCCGACTCAAAAGCTCTGGAATCAATAATAGCTGAGTTTAAAAGAGAGGGCCGGAGTCTCTGCTTCTGCCTTCGGTGGGTACAAGCCAGCCAGAGCTGCGCGCTTTGACACCCCATCCTGGTCCAAGGGTTAAGCACGTCTCCCATTCCACTGGAATCAGTGGGACATACACGAACTTACTGTGCCGCCCTACGCGGGTGCCTACGCAGAAGGAAGCCCCACTAAGGTCAACAGGATTTGCTCCCAGCCAAGAGCGCACCTCCAGTTGGCAGCCTGACGTGGCCTGGATCAGGCCTGGCCAATGCACTGAAAAGTGACGATCCTATGCACGCATCTTGGGAAAGAAGCCCCACTGCAGCGCTCGTGGAAACTCAGCCCGAGAATCATGGGATTGTAGAGGTAGAAGGGGGCTCCCGAGGGTCATCTAGTCCAACCCCTTGCAGTGCCGCAATCTTTGGCCCAAGGTGGCGCTCGAACCCACAACCCTAGAGTCTTATGCTCTAGCGAAGCTACTTTAAAATCACCCGTCATGATTACTGTTTCTTGTTGGCTCTTCGCACCAGCCCTGGGAAGCCAGGCTGAGAATATTCCCATTTCACAGATCATAACTGAGGCTAAGAACCGGTGTCTTCTCCAAGGAGGTACCATGTTCACTGTGGTTTATTATCACTGCCACCCCAGAAGGCCGCGCTATCCCGCATCCCCTGGTGGGCTCTACTCTGGCTCTACTAGAATCCTGAGGTCCAGAAACCATATCCAAGCGCCAAACAGAAGCTAAACGAGTGAGCGATGGGGGGGGGACCACCAACCCCAAATGGGGGCTCAGGGACCACGAGATCCAGTTACCTGCTGGAGCCCATTAGACTTCGTGTACACCGAGACGTGTGAACGCTGCTGCTGTGTACACATACGGATCTGTTTCTTGCTACAGGTTGGCGGAATCTGCCCTGTTGCCATTGTGAAGAGGTCACGAGTCAGAAACTCACCCAGCCATCTAGTGGCAGAATCAGATCCCTTAGAAACTGCCGGAAAGGATCCTGGAGAGAGATCCCTTGGAACACCAAAGAACACCCTTGGGGTTTTCAGAAGCAGTAACGACAGCAGCCAGTCGTCTCCATCAGAAGCTTCTGTCTGCTGCTGCGACATTATTATTATTTTAAACCCTGAACCTGCTTACTTGGGAGTCAAACCCATTGAGCTCAACGGGATTTTACTTCTGAGTAAGCCTCGAGGGGCTTGCGCTCTAATGCGTCGGATTGGGCCCGCATCTCCCTCTCGGGTTAGAGAGCGTATGCTTTCGACGAGGTTCTCTCCGCACCAACCCAGGTTAATTTTATTAGGACTGCAGGATTTTACCAACTGCTGCGGTAACAAGCTGTTTGCGTAGCAATTAGAGCGAGGTGGTGGCATTTATGGTACACATTTATAATCCTAATTATAAAGGTGATTGCAGGAAGGTTTAAAGGGAGCGGTGGGGGGAACTCTACTGTGGTTTTTGCTGCAAGAGGCTGCAAGAGGCTGCCCCTCGGCCAGACCCCCCGCCCCAAGTTTGCCCGTCTCCTGGAGGGCCTTTCCATGACCAACTGGTATTTCTTTTCACGACTCCCAATTGAAAAGCAAACCTTGTTGTATTTCTGGATGAGACAGACTCTTCGCCTTCGACAGGTTCCTTCCTGCACAGGTGCTTCCCAAGACCACCATGGAAGTTGGAGTATTTGCACAAAATCCATTTCTTCTCAATGCCCATTTAGCCCGATCCTAAGTAGCTCTACTAGCCATGAAAGAGTCTGGCTATGTTCAGTGGGACATATTCCGCACCTTCGCCCCTGCTTCCAAAGGGGCAGCTTAAAAACGCAGTCCCTTAACGCGTCGACGCAGAAGTCCCACTGGATCGCACGGGATACGCTTCCTAATACTTTAGGATCGCAGTTACACTTAAAGAGGACGGAAGCAATTCGAACCCAGAACCCTATAACTTAACTAACCAGGAGTTGATCGGGCAGGAGGGGGGCGGGTCCATCAGGGCGATCTTGCCTCCCCCCCCCCAAAAAAAAGAATTAAAAATAAAACTCCTGCTTTTTTGTGGTTACTTTCAGGAAAGACACTTCTCACAAGCTAGTTGCAACTGATCGGTAAACTTTGCATTAAATCTACAGTTCTAAAAGTGCTGGTTTAAAAGTTAGCCTCAGTGAGGTCAATCTGACTTACAGGTGAAACTCGAAAAATTAGAATATCGTGGAAAAGTTCATTTATTTCAGTATTCAACTTAAAAGATGAAACTAATATATGAGACTCATGACATGCAAAGCGAGATATGTCAAACCTTTATTTGTTATAAATGTGATGATTATGGCATACAGCTGATGAAAACCACAAATTAACAATCTCATAAAATTAGAATATTAAATGAAATCAGCAAAACAAGGACTGCAAATAGGGCAATATTGGACCTCTGAGAAGTAGAAGCATGCATAAGTACTCAGTACTTGGTTTGGGCCCCTTTTGCATCAATTACTGCCTCAATGCGGTGTGGCATGGATGCTATCAGCCTGTGGCACTGCTGAGGTGTTATGGAAGACCAGGATGCTTCAATAGCAGCCTTCAGCTCCTCTGCATTGCTCGGTCTCATGTCTCTCATCTTTCTCTTGGCAATGCCCCATAGGTTCAGGTCAGGCGAGTTTGCTGGCCAATCAAGCACAATAATCCCATGGGCATTGAACCAGGTTTTGGTACGTTTGGCAATGTGGGCAGGTGCCAAGTCCTGCTGGAAAATGAAGTCAGCATCCCCATAAAGCTCGTCTGTGGAAGGAAGCATGAAGTGCTCCAAAATCTCCTGGTAGACAGCTGCATTGACCCTGGACTTAATGAAGCACAGTGGACCAACACCAGCTGATGACATGGCTCCCCAAACCAACACAGACTGTGGAAACTTCACACTGGACTTCAAGCATCTGGCATTGTGTGCCTCCCCATTCTTCCTCCAGACTCTGGGTCCTTGGTTTCCAAATGAGATGCAAAGTTGCTCTCATCAGAAAAGAGGACTTGGGACCACTGAGCAACAGACCAGTTCTTTTTTTCTTTAGCCCAGGTAAGACGCTTCTGATGTTGTTTCTTGTTCAGGAGCGGCTTGACAAGAGGAATACGACATTTGAAGCCCATCTCCAGGATCCGTCTGTGTGTGGTGGCTCTTGATGCACTAACTCCAGCCTCAGTCCACTCCTTGTGAAAGTCCCCAACACGTTTGAATGGTCGTTTCCTGACAATCCTCTCCAGGCTGCGGTCGTCCCTGCTGCTTGTGCACCTTTTCCTTCCACACTTTCCCCTTCTGCTTAACTTTCCATTAATGTGCTTCGATACAGCACTTTGGGAACATCCAACTTCTTCTGCAATTACTTTTGAGGCTTTCCCTCCTTATGGAGAGTCTCAATGATGGCTTTCTGCACAACTGTCAGGTCTGCAGCCTTCCCCATGATTGTGCTTCCTACTGAACCAGACTTGAGAGACCATTTCAAGGCTCAGGTGTTATGGATTGAATAGCTACTGCACCTTTTCACAATATTCAAATTTTCTGAGATTGTTAATTTGGGGTTTTCATCAGCTGTACGCCATAATCATCACAATTATAACAAATAAAGGCTTGACATATCTGGCTTTGCATGTCACGAGTCTATCTCATGCATTAGTTTCACCTTTTAAGTTGAATTACTGAAATAAATGAACTTTCCCACGATATTCTAATTTTTCGAGTTTCACCTGTACTTCAATGGAAAGTTTGGTTAGGATAGCGACTAGGATTTCTCTGTATGCAATTTCTCAAGTAGCAGAAAGCTCGGTTCAAGTCACGGGCGCGCGCACGGGGGGGTCACTATGCCCCTTCTCTTGTGCGTATGTTTATTAGTGTGTCGCCTTTGGCCAGAAGGATGGCTAAACTAAGGCGCTTGAGGTTTAACCCAGAAATCTTCCATTAAGGGGACATGGGGGGAGGGGGAGGGAGGGAGAGTGTTTCTTGGGGGAAGGGGGATAACAAACACACCCACCCAATGTAAACACCCCCACTTGGTGCAGCTAAGAGAACACTTGAGCGTTAGGTCCTGCTGGGATGGGATCCTTCGCCCAATGGCTAGAAAATCAATCCGGATTATTCGCGAGGTGCTGCGGAGATGGGGACAGTCCGCAGCTGATTGCAGATTTCTGCCACCCGTCTCCCCTCGCCCCCCCCCCCGTAAAGAAGTGTCTGGACTCCAGGCTGCTGCTGCTGCTGCTCCTCCTCCTCCTTTTCCCAGATGTCCACCTTCCCAGATGTCCACCCCACCCACACAAGATGTGTACAGCTTAGCCTCCCAACTTTCTCTTCCCCAGTTCTGGGCAGTTTGGGGAAACTTCAGCTAACTTGAGCGCGCGCGGTTGTTGTCTAGGGCGAGGAATCCGACCAAAGTCTCCCTACCCTCCTCCTCTTCTTCCTCCTCCTCCTCCTCCATCTCCACCTCCAGCCTCCCCGGCCGGTCCACTTACAGCTCGGGGCTCCTCGGGGAGAAGGCGGCGGTTGGGTCTTCCTCAGGTGCGCAGCTGCTTCGGGGCTTCTTCTCCTGCTTCTGGAGGGAACCGTGGATGATGGAGAAGGCGCAACTCTTCTACTTTCGGCAGCTTAGACGGGCTTTTCCCCGCCGGGGTGGGGTGGGAGTTTTGTGGACAGAGAAGTCTCTCAATTCCCTGACCCGCCGAAGAAGGTGATCTGCTGAACGGAGGCAGGCTGGGTGGATCCCTTCCAGTTTGGCTCAGACACTCCCCCAAGGGATTCCAGCCTCAGTGTTATTTGGATTTGGAGCAGGGCGTTCACTTAGGTCTCAGTTGGTCCGCTTCCTTCTAACCATCTCTCTTTCTCCAGCCAGCCAGCGAGCAAGCAAGCAAGCTGCTCTCAGGCTCTGGGAAAGGAGTGAGCCACAGAGCGAGCGAGCGAGCGCGCCCGTGGGGAGGGGAGGCCTCCCCACTAATATCTGTAACGCCATCAGCAATGTAATTTGTGCGGAATGTTCATTTTGTATTGGTGTTCTCCCTGTGCCAAAAATGTGCGCTTGATTGCATAGAGTGGGCTCGTTGACGGAGCAAGGTGTGACCGCTGTCGAGGGGCGGAGGAGGGTGAGGGAGAAGGAGAAGTTCAGCTCAGGCCAAAGCGTGGGGGTGGGGGTTTTTATATATAGATGGATATATAGATAGAGAGATATATAGCTCTCGATCTCTTCCTCACCCCCCAGGCTGTTTTAGACCGCAAAGGCGCCGCGCGCCGCGATGAGTGTTAAATAGATGGCTAATTACGCGTATGAAAATTAAACATCAGTGTTATGCTAATAGGGCCGCCTTCAGCTGTGGATCAGAGCACTTGAGACTAGCATTTAATCAAAGGAATCAGTAACTAATACTGCTGCACGTGTGAACTTTCCTCAAGATCATCATCTCCCCACCCCCGCCGCCGAGCGGCTCCTGGGTCCCGCGCGCCCAAGCGAAATGATGGGGGGGCGGGGGGGGAGAGAAATAATTAGCAGGCGCTTTCTAATTATTTAGACGACGAAAAGTCAGTTGGGATTCAGCCCAGAAGGCCTTTGCCTGGCAGCGGCCCTGAAGCGCCCCCACACTATCGCCACCCCCCACAGCCAACACTTTGGTTCTGGTTGGTCAGAGAGGATTTGGCAAAGTGGGAAGAGGCGGGGATCGGGCTTCGACTTTTTAAGGGAACGGGATCAGGCCAACACGCAGGTCGCTTCCGTCTCTGGGTGGCTTGGTGTGTAGATCGGGGAGGAGTATTACTCGCGTTGAGCTCCCCCCCCTGCGCCCCCGGAAGCACAAAACAGCTGGCCTTTGGCTATCTGCTCTGGAAAGGAAGCCGCTGATTTATTTCCCCATTCCAAGCTGAGCAGGCCAGTTGTTAGAGGAAGAGCCAGCTTCCCAATGACACAGAACTCTTCGTCAAAGTTTGACTTCAGAAATGTAACCCGAAAAGTATTTCTCATGGTGGACCTCCTGCTCAATAAGGATGAAAAATTGAGAACCCTTCCTTTACCCCAAACACTGAAATCCTGATTGTGATTACCCAAAAGTGGTAGAAGGGAACTGAGGGGTAAGGGATTCCCGTTAGGTTATTATTTTTTTGTTTGTTTTGTTTGTTTTTAACAGGGGTCTCAAGGCAGCAAAAGGCATTTTCTCACCCGTCTTGGCTCAGCAGCCAACACTGCGTTTGCTTTCCATACTGTCTGACGAAGAGTTCTGTGCTCGCGCTAAAGTCGGCGCAGTTTTTCAGCTGACCAAACCAAAAACATGAATGACAGCCCCATCCCCGAAGGTTCCCAGGTAAACCTGTGAAAAGCAGCTTCTTCTGAGGTCTCCTGCATCCCCATCCTGCGAAAAAAAAGGGGGCGGTGGGGTACCTTCTTTGCCAGAGAAGGGGACCGTGAAGATCTCTCCTCCCCCCTTTCCTTAAGATAAGCCACAAAGCCTTTGTATTGGGTAGGGCAACTACATCAGCTGCCCCTTTTGGGGGACGAGGGAGAGCTGCTACACAATGGATCCCCTAACACGTGCGAAATTGATCAGATGCACCCTCCGTGGAACATCCCAGCCCCAAATGCACGCACGCACCTGACTATATACCACAACAACTTTGCAAAAGCAGGCTGGTGGCAGTTGCTGTTTCCTTTATAAGCAGCGAGACATGGTGGGCTTCAAGCGGTGCTAACCATTTCTGGACACGCACGCACGCATCTCGTGTCCCAGTTACTGGTCCTAATACAGTGGTACCTCGGGTTAAGTACTTAATTCGTTCTGGAGGTCCGTTCTTAACCTGAAACTGTTCTTAACCTGAAGCACCACCTTAGCTAATGGGGCCTCCTGCTGCCGCCGCGCGATTTCTATTCTCATCCTGAAGCAAAGTTCTTAACCCGAGGTACTATTTCTGGGTTAGCGGAGTCTGTAACCTGAAGCGTCTGTAACCTGAAGCGCCTGTAAACCGAGGTACCACTGTATAATATCTGAAGAAGCTGGACGATCTGCTCCCATCTCTCTGTGAGAGACCCCCTCAGAGAGGGAGATCTGCAAGGGTGGGAGGGGGTCTGAGACAGAGAGCGAGAGAGCGAGAGCGAGAGCGAGAGAGAGAGAGAGAGAGAGAGAGAGCCTTCCTCCCTCTCAAGCCATCTGATGTTCTGACATCAGGTTGGTGGCGCTGCTAGAGGTAGTAGATAGCAAAATCGTTTGGAGACGTCAGAGGGGTCCTGGAGCCTGGGATCTTTCCCTCTCCATAGGAGGGGTTTTTGCGCCCCTCCTTCCTCCCCTGGGGGCCAGGGAGGGGTCTCTGGGCGGCCCCCCTCGCGCTGGCCCCGTCCAGCTCGGCGCCGTCGTCTCTGCCTTCTCCTTCCTTCCTTCCTTCCTTCTGCTGCTTCTCTCCTTCCTTCGCGTCTCTCTCTCTCTCTCTCTCGCTCGCTCGCTCGGGTCCAGCAGGCGAGCCCCCGAAAAGCGTCTCCGGCCAATCGCGCGCGATCCTGCCAGGCGGCGGGCCAATCAGCTCGGCGGGCTCATGCATATTCATCGCTTTTGGCTGAGTCAAAGCTTTTAGGCGAGTTTGTGTAGATCTCCAAGCATCATGCCTTAGACTTTTTCAAAGAGACAAACTCCATTTTCTTATGAATGGAAAGTGAAAAGCCCCGGGCCTCTTAAATTGGGTCCTGAGAGAGAGAGAGAAAGAGAAAGAGGAAAGAGAGAGGGAGAAAGGGAGAGAGAGAGAGACCCCCCAAAAAGGCAGGCTGGAGGAAGAGAGCGAGAGAGAGACAGAGAGAGATCGCCAGGGAGAGAAAGAGAGAGAGGCACCCAAGGCAGCGGCGCGCAATGACCATGACTACCATGCCAGAGAGCCTCAATAGCCCTGTCTCCGGCAAGGCGGTCTTTATGGAGTTTGGGCCGCCCGGGCAGCAAATGCCACCGTCGCCCATGTCTCACGGACACTATTCCATGCACTGTTTACACTCGGCCGGCCACTCGCAGCCGGACAGCTCCTACAGCGCAGCTTCGTCCTTCTCCAGACCGCTGGGCTACCCCTATGTCAACTCGGTCAGCAGCCACGCGGCCAATCCTTACATGAGCTCAGTGCAGTCCTACCCCAACAGCACCAGCTTGGCTCAGACCCGGTTAGAGGAGACAGGTACGTGCCTGCAGAGGGGAGGGGAGGGGAGCTGGCTGGGTTCTGTGGGGAGGAAGGGGGAGGAAACGAGGGGAGGGGGAGGGGGGCTCTGGGAAGCACCAAAGGACACCCCCCCCAGAAAAGAACAAGATCTGAAAGGGGGGAAGGAATCTCGAAGGAAGCAAAACATAATAATAATAATAATAATAATAATAATAATAATAATAATAATGCTATCAAGCTACACCCCCCCTCCTCCTCCTTCCAGTCCTCAAGAGAGCAAGCAAATTCCTCCAGCCAAACCTCCAAGATCTCTGGAGTTTGCTCACAAAGGCACCCCGTGCCCGGCTGGCAAAACCCAGAAAGAAATTCCTTCTCTTCTCTCCTCGATCTCTCTCTCTCTCCCTCTCTCTCTCCCTCTCTCCACCCCCCCCCCCAGATGTGCGCCTATTAGGCTCGGCAATTATTTATTGCGTAGCGCTATAAACAATGTATGCAATTAAGGGTAATTAAACCTAAAGTGCCGCCGCCTGTAAAAATAGCAAACTTTCTTTCTTCTCCTGCGACCGAGCCTCCGGGACTCAGCAGCCTCTCTGGAGTTGCCGAGCAGCAGAAGAAGAAGGAGAAGAGGAGGAGGAGGAGGAGGAGGAAGAGGAAGAGGCAGCCACCGGGCTCCGGGGCTCCTTGAGAGTGGCGAGGAAAAGGAGGAGGAGGTGAAGGAGGGTTGCTTGACACGGCTGCTCCCGGGGCACCTCCAAGGCCAACGGATTTGTTGGGAGGAAAATTTGGGGCCCTTGTTAGGATTGCCTTCTCATCAGCACCATCAGCACCGCTGGTCATTGCTCATCCATCCATCCCTCCATCCAGTCATCCAGTCCCTCACTGGCCCGCTTTCTTGCTTCTTGCAGGGGCCGAGACGGAGAAAAGCACCGTGGTGGAAGGCGGAGAAGTGCGCTTCAACGGCAAAGGGAAGAAAATCCGAAAGCCCCGGACTATTTACTCCAGTTTGCAGCTGCAGGCTTTGAACCGGCGGTTCCAGCAGACTCAGTACCTGGCTTTGCCCGAGAGAGCCGAGCTGGCCGCCTCCTTGGGGCTCACCCAGACCCAGGTAGGCAGCGCCAGCAGCACCTGCATCCCCAGAGCATCCTTCGCCCGCTCAGCCCCATCCCTGCGCCCCGAGCAACTTCCTGGCGGCCACGCCTGCCCGCGGCCCTCTCGGCTCGCCGTACCTCCCGAGGCCCAAGAGGCAAGATCCCGGGGGAAGCTGGGCGGGGTAGGTGGTGGGGCTGCTGCTGCTGCTGGTGGGGCAGAGAGCCCTCCGAAGCATCAGTCGAAAAAGACCTCCTTCTGCTCCACTGCTGCCCCACCACCACGACCATGTTCGCTCTCCTACTTTCCCAAGCGCGCTTAATATTTAGGAAACCCCCAATCTCATTGATGTTTCTTCAATAGCTTGCCATAAAAAAGTCGGTCGATCTATCTATCATCTATCTATCTATCTATCATCTATCTATCTATCTATCTATCTATCTATCTATCTATCTATCTATCTATCATCTATCTATCTATCTATGTCTATCTATCTATCTATCTATCTATCTATCTATCTATCTATCTATCTATCTATATCTATCATTTATCTATCTATCTATCTATCATCTATCTATCATCTATCTATCATCTATCATCATCTATCTATCTATCATCTATCATCTATCTATCTATCTCTCCAACCCCCGCGTTAAAATTCCAAGGAGGGGCACTGGAGAGTGGCAGGCCCGTTTTTAAGGCAATTCTGGGGAGAATGGTGTCTCCAGTGAGAATAGCTGCCCTTATCCTATGCCTGGCTCACTCGGTCTTCCTGAACCCAGTGGAACTAATACCCCTCCCTCCAACAAACAAACAAAGGTGCCCAGGTGATGTCTTGAAGATGTAGGTGTTTAAATCTCCATTTCTGAAGGATCTCACCATCTCCTCCAGCGGTTTAGTTGTCCATCTTTCAAGTCTTGGAGGATCCTATTTGGTTTGGGTTAAAAGAAGGCTCCTCTCCCCCTCGAATCACGTACAAAGGCGCGCGCCCTTATCTTCTCAACCACCATCAAATCTTCACCTTTGTCTATCTGAGAAAGATGTACAGGGAGGGTGGAATTGTACTTGTCACCCAAATAGACCGATCCCCATTGCAAAATGCGATTTTTCTTATTCTTTTTGTTTAAGTTGCTCCTAATAAAATATTTCATTTGTCTAGACTTGGGTCCCTCGTGGGCTTTGGAACCTGGGAGATCCGAGGCCTTTTGCCTCTGTGATGTATCACCCTCCTAAAACTTGCTTCTCTAGGAGCAAGGCCGTCCCATCTTCCTTGTGGCGCAGGAACTTTAATTAAGGATGGCGGCGTGATTTCAGTAACTGTAGTTGGGATTGTCTTTAGGATTCCTAGGCCTTAAAAAACCCCAGAAAAAACTCGGACGCTGCCTCAGATGGAAACTAACAGGCCTTCCTGCTCTCAATCCATGCATATAATTATTATTTTTTTAATCTGTCCTTGTGGCTCTTCGAATTACCCACACACTTCGCTGGTGGTGCATTTACGCATTTGTTTTGGGGGAGCTATTTTTGTTTTGTTTTGTTTACAGATGACCTAGTGCGGGGAGTGTGGTTTTTAGCTCCGCTAAAGAAAGGGGAGAAGTTAGTAGTGCGCCTCCATTTCCGGAAATTTGGTCCCCCGAGCGAAAGACGCGCGTTGGTATCAATCAAGCGTCCCTCCCTAGGGGTGGGGGAATCACAGCCAAGCGTTGCCTTGGGCCTTGGGCCTGGTACCGTATTTCTCCGGACAGAGACCCTCTTGGCCACTGAGTGCCCTTTTTCCTGTTGCCTCCCGGATTCTGTCTGGCTTGTCTTCTCTGCTGGCGCCTTCAACTTTCGTTTTTCTCTCTCCCCCCACCCCTTTGGGACAGGTCAAGATCTGGTTCCAAAACAAGCGCTCCAAATTCAAGAAACTGATGAAGCAAGGAGGGGCCGCTTTGGAAAGCAGCGCACTGGCCAACGGCAGGTCCCTGTCTGCCAGTTCCCCCCCAGTTCCCCCAGTTTGGAACACCACCTCGACGTCGGGTAAGACCTCCACTGGGACCCCGGCCACTTACATCCCCAGCTACACGTCTTGGTACCCTTCGGCCCACCAGGAAACTATGCAGCAGCCTCAGCTGATGTGATTGGGGTTTTTTGGAGGGGGTTTTCTTTCGGGTTTGGTATTTCGTTCGTTTTTGGTTTTATTTTATTTTATTATTTTTTAAATAATAATAAGAAAGAAAGAAAAAGTTGAACCAACAAGCCGATCTCCCCGTCGGCATCAACCAGAATACTTAAAAGAAAAAAAGAGAAAAAAATTACTAAACACCCCACACAAACACGCGCTCGAACACTGTGCTTAGTTTGGGGGAAAGCGCGCGCACGCACGACCCAAGGAGCCTGAGAAAAGGCAACGTGGGAAGAGGCGCCAGCCAAAAAATTTTAAAAATAAAGGAGAAAAGGACACGCCACGCGCGGACAGTCTTTGGGAAAGTCCTCCTGGGCGCAGCCGCTGCTGAGCTGCCGGGCGAGGCAGGCACAGATGCGACGCGGGGCTGGTTCCCAGTGCAGACAGCTGACGCGGCAGCCACGGATCGGCCCGAGAGCAGCCGGACAACAGCCTGCCAGCAGCGCCGGAAAAACCCTCGGCTTAGTTGGACAATCAGGAAAAAAATATGAGAAGAATAATCTGTTTGTACCAGGAAGAGGGGCGGGGAGGAATCTGTGTCCTCTTTCTTGTCTGTCTCTCGTGTCTGTTCTAATGAAATGTAGGTCATTCCCTTCATCTCGAGTCCTCTGGTCTCCGAAAAACGGAACACAAGTCGTCTTTCTTTCTTTCTTTCTTTCTTTCTTTCTTTCTTTCTTTCTTTTCTTTCTTTCTCTTTTCTTCCTTCTTTTCTTTCCATTCCCCCCGCCACCTCCCACAATGTTCGTTGTTAGTCCTCGGTGTATATTTTTTTTCTTCTGTCGAAGGGGAAAGGGGGGATTTTTTTTGGTTTAAATTATTATTATTTATTGACTTTGAAATCTACCACTATGAGAGTCCTAAGCATTTTTCTATAAAAAATAATAATAATAAACTTACGGGCAGATCTGGTTTGCAGAAGTGACGTTGTTTTCATGCTGTTTGTTTCAAAGTCGAAGACCTCGCACACATACTAGGGAGGAGATGCTCAGGCGCTCAGTTTAATTTTAATTTTAATCTGTGTGCATTCGCTTTCCTGTTTCGGGAAGGTGTGGGGCAGATCCGAACGGGAGCATTCGGGTTTCACACACGCATTTATGGAGAGATCTATTCCCCCACCCGCTTAGCGCACGTCTCACGTTAATTATAACTGAGAGAAGGAATTAAAAAAAAAGGGGGGGGAAATAAAGCAAGGTAGTTTGCTTTGGAAGCAGAGTCAGGCCAAGGCGTTGTTTTCTTTGCTTTTAGCGAAGTCACCTTGCCAGTGTACAGGCAGCTCCCTTTAATGAGCCATTTGGACAAGGGGCCAATTGGGCTTCGCAGCTTTAAATCTCAATTTCTTAACGCCACGGAATTATCAGTGTGAAATCTCCCTGCGCTTATTTCCAAGTGCAACCTTTGGTCGCTATACATTTTTTTAAAAAAACAAATAATAATAATAATATTGTCCTGTGAACACGTTGCACAAAAACTAGCTTTTTTATTGTTTTGGGTTCTTTCTCCCACCCACTCCGCATTTTTTATTATTTAAATCGGGCGTGGCTACAATATATGATGCTTTGTGAAAGCTGAGATTCTTGGAGATTTTGCCTGTGGACAAAAAACCAAACCAAACCACCCTCTCTGGCGCTCTATGCCGGAAGATGCGATACTAGCCTTGGGATTCCGCGCTGTTGCTTTAGTGCTCTAAAATGTCATTGTTTAGTTCTGCATTTGAGGATATTAAATTATTTCATTTTTTTATACGGGGTGGGGTGGGGGAACAAACAACAAAAAAGGATGAAAACACACACACACACACACACACACACAAGCCCACCCAACGCCGCCCTGATTCAGCCACCGTCCTGGCTCTGCCCTAAAAATATTTGCACACACAATATGATGAAAAGTTTCTTTTGATAGTGTGAAATTATGTTTTGGAGTGGGGGGGAGAGCCCGTGCCATGTTTCCTGCCGGGGGCAGAGTATGAAGGGACACGGGGACTTTAGGTCATCCTGTTTTGCTATCCGTAGTCGTGAAAAAAAGAAAGAAAAAGGCAGTTGACTGATTGGAAACGCGACCTGCGGTGGAGAGAATCATTTGTAACTTGGGTTGTTATGATGCGCGCAAGGGTTAAAAGGAAGAAACCGCACGATCCTTAATGCTCAGTCCCTAACGAGGCATTGTGAGTGTGTGGAATGAAATCAAGGGTGAGTTGTGAGCTCAGAATCCTGGTTCCTGCATCCACTCTGGATGCGCTACGGTGGTCGGATGGAAACAAACCACCTTAAATGCGCGACGGAAACGCTCAGTTCTGAAGTGAGAAGCCCGGGCCGGATCTTCTGCAGGGCATTAAGGGAGGCTCTCTTGCAAATGGTAACGCAGGGCGCAGGGGCGACGCAGCGCAACAGTGCGCGTGCATGTGTGCATGGGCTAAGAAGCCCAGACCTAATCGGGGCTGCGATCTACTACAAGGCTTTTCCTTTGCTTGTTCCCCAACTCCCACTACGATCTTGAATTTATGGTTGCTTCTATAAATAACTCTCCAGCGAGCTAAGGGCTGAAATATGGGGAGACTTTTCACCCAGGCAGCTTTCCAGGCAAGGTGCTATGTTTAATTCCATCCTATGTGATCGCCTTTCCCTTTGCGGGGGCGAGGGGGGGTGTAGTGAGTGCGCGCTTGCGGTAGGTCTTCGCTCAGGAGGCAGAACAGGTGCTAGCTAGGGAAAAGGTCTGCGGTTGCCTTCTTAGAGGGAAGCAAGAGGAACTGGGACTGGGGGGGGGTGAAATGGGCAAAAAAAGACGGGCTTGCCTCTGGTTTCAGAGGCACCGAGGTCTAGGAGCTGAGGTCCTGCGGGATTACAAAAGAAAGAGAAATCCTGAGGTTTACCACCGCAAATAGCGCTTTATTATTATTATTATTATTATTATTATTATTATTATTATTATTATTTTATAGCGTATGGCTCGGGACAGCTTGGAGCACACGTGTGTGTGTGTGTGTGTGTGTGTGTGGTGCAGCTTTCTGCCCCCTCTTGCTGCCCTGAATTTTAGCTCTCCTCTTTTTTTATTATTCCTCCCCCAAACAATCCCAAAGACTTCCCTTTAACTATCTCCCGCACCGTTTCGTCAAGCTCAAACTTTTCAGCGGAGGAAATTGGCAGCTACACGCGTTTCCATCCCTAAAACACGATGCCGCCTCTCTCTATTAAGCATCCAGGAGGCTGGGACCTCGGGGACGCGCATCTGTTTGGACAGCAGTTCTTGGGAAGGGAAGGAGAACCTGGAAGAAAGGAGATGGGGGGGGGATGCGGGGAGAGAAAGATTTCTATGGGCATCGCACATGTATGTATGTGTGTATGTAGGCAAGCATGCACGGGGGAGGACAAACTGGGTCTTTGACCTGGGTAACAGAAAGCCTAGTTTCGCCATTGCAAATGCGCCTGGGCAAGAAAATAAAACCGAGATTGGGGTGTGGAGGGCAGCGAGGAAGGCGAGGGATTGAGGAAAGCGGTGGATCGCCGTTTGGGAGGTGGTTTTACTGTCTTTCTCTATGAGTGGTCTCTCTGTATGTGAGAGATCAGGGGAGGGGATGGCTTAGGAAACATTGGGCGCCTTGCACATGCTTTTGCGCCTTGCACATGGTTTTGGAAGATCAAAGCGCCACCGCTTTTGGAGAAGAACAGCTGTGTGTGTGTGTGTGTGTGTGTGTGTGTGTTGGTTCTTTCTTTTCTCATCAGGACAAGACAAAATTCAAGAGATATTTCTGAGGCACACCACCGAAGTCTCAGAAGGATGCATTATGTCCCTCGACCTCCGCCCACCCCACATCCTCCGCTTAGTTGTTATTAAAAAGGAATAAACAACCAACCCGCATAAGCCTTCAAATTCATCACCCCAGAGCCAGAACGAGGACACTTTCCCTATGTCCCCATTGCAGGGAACTAAAGAGGAGTTTGCGGAGCGGCACGTGGAGCCTGTCGTAGTTTGGTACCTCGGGGCAAATGGCAAGCGAGATGCGTCACTCGGGCAAACTCCGCCGGCAAAGTTCAGTATGTCCTACCAAGCGGGCGGAGGAAAGCAAGCAAAAGAAAGATTAAAACTAGATAGATCACCGCTGGGATCAGGACCCAGATCCCAGAGCCAGGGCTTTCCCGCTGCCTTGGCAAGATCATCTTTGCTCTGTGTTTCTGAGACAGAGAAGGAAGTCCCTTCTCTCTTTCGCTCCCCCCCCCTTTCCTCCAAGCTGAGGATTGCATCCGTTTGCAAGTTCCCTATGGGGTGAGTGGGTGGGGAGAGGAGGAGGCAAAAGTGGGTGGGTGTTGCGGGGGTGGGGGGGGGAGGAGGTTTCCGGGAGGCTGCTGGAGGAGGAAGCGAATGATAAATTGTATCGATTTTTGTTTTGACACGCACCCATTTTTCAATTCTGGGCGATGAGTGATCAAATGATGCGGCCCTCTCTGGCTAATGTACTTGGGAGAGAGACGGAAAGCGGGAGGGAGATAAGGCACCATAGTGCGGTGTGTGATTGTGTGTGTGTGTGTGTATGTGGGGTAGGGGGGTGGACGGACGGGGGTGGGAAGGCACCAGAAGGAACTGAAGCAGCTTGGAGGGGAGACAGAGAGACAAGCCAGGCCGTGGGAGAATCCCAGCCCGCCGGATTCCCCGGGGAAGAAAGAGAGAAGCTGCCCGCAGGGGCTTCCTGAAACCTCATTGACTGGTTTCCTAGATCCCCCCGAAGACAAAATCTGGCCGCCACCCGGTGGTTAGCAGAGACGCTTGAACCACACATGCCGGAGCCGGTGGTGGCCGCTTTGCGCGCGCCCCTCCACTGCCCCTCCCGGAGAAAGCCTGACGCCGAATCCAGAGGCCCCCAGTCTGAACGCGAGAGCGAATGATTCGGAAAACAAAACCGAAATCCAACCGCGATGGTCAAGCAAACTTCTGGCTGGGTTGCTCTCCGATGCTGCGGCTCCTCTTAATTCAATAAAGGTCTTGCTAAACCGTCCAAATGGAGAAATTATTAGTTTTCTCCCAACGAAGGCGGGCTCGAGTTAGCGCCTATTATAACTGTACATTTGCAAATGTTAATCTCACCACAGACCTAATTAATTCTGCCTTGTTACTGACAAGCAGTTCATCAAATATCTGATTCGAAGATGTTCGTAATGAGGATATTAATTAAATTCTGAATCATCCGAAAGGGCTTCTATTGAAACAATACCTCATTACAATGATTAAAAACTGATTTCGAATATTACGCCTTTCCCACCGTTCTCTCTCTCTCTGCAAACACAGAACCCTCCCGGATAAATCTGCCCATGGCAAAAAATATAAAATATAAAAATGAATTACAAAATGTGCAATTTAGGGATATGCATTTTCCCCATTTGGGGGGGGGGGGTTGAGGAAAGAAAGCGCCAGCCCCTCATTTCCCAACACTTCTGCAATAGGTTACACGCAGCTTAATGATAATCAAAATGACTTTTTTCCCCCCTCTCCCCCCCCCAGCTAAAAAAGACCCCAAAGTGCGCGTACAGCTGCAAAACCCAAGAGGGTCAGCATCATTTCACTGTATTCTCTTCTTGATTACAAGCCGAGCCCATCAAACACAACATAATTACAGTAATTTCAGGTTTATTTATTCTAATGCAGTTTCCCCATCTCTCTGGTAATTATGAGCAATTTTTTCGCCCAGGGAATCTTTTTGCATTAACAAAAGAGATAACGCACTGAAAGCCAAATTTGCTGTGCATTGAGAATGGGGAAGAAGAAGAAGGGAGGAGAGAGAGAGAGAGAGTGAGACAGAAAGAAATAAAATAGGTGCGAGAGAGCTGCCATCCCTTCCCGCTCCATTCTCTGCTCTGCAGAGTGGAGCGCAGCAAATTGCCTGCAGGTGTGCGGAGCCCGGGCTGTCAAAGGGGGGGGGGGTTTAAAAA